GCCCCCCTCCCCCGCTCAGCGCATTACTGGGTAAGGCAGTGAGGAGCAGTTACAGTCTGTACTCCCGGGCAGCTATAGGCTGCCACAGGATGTGCTTAAGCAAACAAAACTACTTTTCCTCATCCCCATCCCCCCACCCCCGCCGCAGACCTTCGTGGACCTCGATGGAGGACTTGGGCAACTTTGCCAGGTTGCCCTGCACCCCCCCGGGCCACTGCGTGGGCACGGAGGGAACCGAGGAGGAGGCCGGGCGGCACATTTGCATGTATGCAAATTTCTGTACAAAATCAGACCTCCTAGGTAACTTTTTTCCCCCTCTGAAATGCAGTAAGGCTCAATGCATTGTAATCTCTCCAGCGAAGCTTTCTGTGGGAATAGATTCGTCGGCAGAGGTAATTATGCACAAAATCCTGCAAACTTTGTGCAGCTTCAGTCCTATGGCATTCCGAAGCGGGGGTGGTGGGGAATCATTTCACACAGAAGAATTACCGGATTGGGGGTGGGGGGGAGGTCCTGAGAAAAGAAGTCGGAGATTAATGAGCGTTCTCCCTCCCAGGACGTGAATCGAGTGGGTTTGAACACAGCCGCCATACAGAAAGTTCTATCACGTTCAGAAACAACAGTGGTTTAGCTCTGACATCTTTTTCTCTTTAGGAGGAAAAAAAAAATGTGGCAGGGATGTCCCCTTAGGGAAGAGAGAGATTCTGCTCCACAAACGCGTGCCCAGAACTGGACATAGGCTATCATTACTGTCCTAGTCCCAGAGGCACCTCTGGAAGGGTGCTTTTTGAGAATCCCCTTTTTCCCTCCTCCAGGTAATAGTTTTTAAAGTGGAAAAGAGCTTCCTGCAATTATTTTAGGTTTGCTAAAGTATTGTTTTGGCAGAAAAGGGGGGTGGTTTTTAGGGTTTGGCAAGTTGCCAATAAGCCTGCTTTTCCAGTTTTTTTTTTAACCTCACATGTTCTCTCTAGACTCTCTTCTCCTCCCCCCCAACAAAAGTATACCTGCCTGCTACAAACCTCCATCCCATCTTTTCTTCTTCCACCCCCTGACTGTAGTTTGCAACCTCCTGCATTTGCCAGCCCTTCTCAAAATTCCAAAAGGAAAGAGAAGGGTATCACGTTGAAAGACATTGGCACCTAGACAAGGGAATCTGCTCCTCGGCGGAGGTGACATAGCTGGAGAGTGTCGGAAGAGAGGAAATTCCTGTAGGCATGCCCACTGGGCGAGTGAGGCTGACTTCTGTGCTAAGGCCACTCTCATTCACTTTCTTTTTCTCTTCTTTCTTTTCTCTTTTCTTTTAAGTAAGGGACAAGAGATATTCTAGTGGACAAAGAGTAAATAAAATAAAACCTACAATAATTCTACTCTGTCTAAAGTTATTTTATGCTTGTACTCCAGTTAATTGCTAAAGTAAGTCAAGACTGCTCAAGAAACCATTCTCTCCCCCACCTCCTCCTGAACATTCTTGGAAACCTGTCAGATTATTTATCAAGGAGTAAGGGGGAAATAATGACTTCAACCTCTAATGAGAAAGTCCATTTTTCCAAACTAAACAGCTGCTTATCCTTGGTCCCTCTTGGACTCCAGCAGGGGAGAAATGTCCTAAAAGCTAAACCGAGTTAAACAGACAACATCCCTGGCCACGGAAACCTTGCTGGGATCTATAACTTCAACGCGATCCAAGTTTCCTCGATAGAAGTTGCTGGCTGACGGTTCCAACATGTAACTGAGGCACAGTGAGAAGTTATTGTTTCGAGTGTGTACTCTTGGGACGCTATCTTCCAGGGCAGATTAAAATCTTCCTTTTGGTGTATTTAAAAATACAGTCCACATCTGCCTGTTTTCAAAACAGAAAAGATCCTTACTTTTTGATGGAGTCTCAAGAAAAAAAGATTTTTTTTAAAGGACTGGCACATCGCCCTGTTTTTTTCCTTAATGGGGGAAAGTAATTTAATGCTGATATTTTTACTTTAAAAACTTCTTTTGTTACAGCAATGGACGTGCCCGCGATTTCCAGCTTTCTGCGGTTAGCAATATTATCTTAAGTAACTTTTGGCGCCCTCCGTAAGACTTTTGGATATGGGACGATTGTTTGCGCCCTCTAGGCAAGGGCTGGATCCAAGTTCAGCACCAAAGCCCTTCACATCCGCTCCTGCTTTCTCTCCTATCTCCGCCAGCTCCCGCTCCCTCCCCCGCTTTGGAAACAAGACCGAGAAAAATACAGTAGAAGAGTTACAGTTACAGAAAGGCTTCTGGTAACTTTCTCTCCAACAGGCATAAATTTAAACACACACACACACACACACAAAGAAACAGATGTTGCTCCCAGGGCCGACTGGGGGTAAAAAAAAAAAAAAAAAGTTTCAAATTCTTTCCCCCCTTCCCAAGTTGCCCCGCTTCCCAAGTTGCAAAAGTAAAGCCTTGTCCAGAGTTCCCTAAGATACTAAGACACTTGAGAGCAGGCAGGTCTGGAGGCAAGGAGGGAAGAAAGCAAGAGAGAGCAGCTTGGGAAACCCAGGTGAAGTAGGAACACTAGTTTACTGCAATCATATAAATGACCCATTGTTAGAAAGGATAAACCCCTTATTGGAAATAAAGGCTCCAATCATTTATTCTGCAAGTGGTAGGAGGCTGCCTTGAAATGGGATTGTCTCTGCGCAAAGGAGGCTCCTGTCATGCTCTCTGCTATCCATATTCTCCCTGGCACAGAGCCCAGCCTTGCATTTACTGTGTTTTATTTGCAGAAACGCTACCTTGCCAGCTTTAGTGAAATCCTCTTAGATATATAAATTACGTCAATAAGGTTTCACTTATATGTACATCTCAAATACTTCTCATTTTAGAGGTTACTTAATTGTGAGGTCTTATTAATATGATTTAGATTTTTAATGCCAAAGCAGTGAGGCTAAGACTAGGATTCGTAAGTGACAACACCATTAACTCTAGTTCTTACCAAGACTAACTTTATTAACTAGCATTTTTCCTCTCTAGTTCTTGACCTGCTGGTCACTTGCGTGCAGATTTTTCTTATATGCATATAATCCTAAATTGAATCGTCTTGCTGAACTGAGAATCTAAGTGAGTTCTTAGGTCAAATTTCCAGACCAGATTTGATTGGAAGGCCTAAGCCCTTGGGAAATAGCTTGAAGGGAGTTTAATACAAAGAAGGGGAAGAGCCCCGATTATTTTCCATTCACTTCCCAACAGAATTAGGTGTCTACACTGCTCAGAGAGAAGGATGAGACAAATATATTTTAGTGGGAAGCTGCCAGTTACTGTCTCCAAGACAAGCTGCTGCAATTGGTTTCCACTGGATTGGTGTCAAGGGCTTATCCAAGAGGCCAGGCTCCAGCTAACAGGAGTCTTCCACACTTGTACCCTCCACAGGGGTTGTTGTGGTAACAAGAAATGTGAACTTGGCCAGTTTTAATGTCTTATTTGCTACTGACCATGCACTTAAACAGCAGAATTCAAGATAAACCAGTCCCTTTGCCTCCCCTCCTCCTTTCATATCTATAAAACAGCTGTCAGTCCACCTGTGAAACATTCTCCCTTTACACTGTTTAGAGTTCAAGAAGAGAGGCTCACCCATTCCATCAAAGTACTCGAAACACCAACGCTTCTAAGACAGAGTGAGAAGTTGTATAATGCTGAGTATGCAATATGTTACTTCCCAAAGCTCACTACTGTCCTACAATTCAGGCAAGATTTAAGTCACACATTTCTTAAAGAAGTTAAACCTCCCCTTCCACAATTACCAACTTCCCTGGCCTTACAAGTAAAAATTAAAGCAAAGTTCAGTATTTCTCTACCAGATTTTTTTTTCTAACTTTTCCCAAAGGACAAAGAAGGCCTAGGATTCTTGCAAAAGTCCTTCAATCAGCTTTTTTCCCCCTTAAACTCAAAAACTCTTTCCTATTGTGCTTGCTAAATCCGGAAGAGCTTGTAGCTTTGACAGCTTGAACCACACCATCCCCTTAGAGCCGCAGAGAACTTCAGATCTCCTCTGCCCCGCCCCCTCTGGCTACTGCGAACCATTGTACGCCCAAGCTTTCTCATGATTGGATAAAGCGTTTGTCAATCCCCCATGTTGTCCCATTGATTAGAGGATCGAATCGTCAATTATTCTCTGGGTCCAGACATTTCTTTTCGGGTTAGGTTGACTGCTGAGGCCAGACGTCTTTTACAGAACAGAGCACGTACAGGATTTCCCCCCACCCCTTTCTGGAACCGAGCAAGCGCTAGGAGGAAAAAAAAAAAAAAATCTGTCAAGCTCAGCAATTTTTTTCAAATAAAAAAAAAAAAAAAAAAAAAAGAGTAAATTAAAAATTAAAAAAAGAATAAAAGCTTATTTGCTCCTTTTGGCTTTTTCCCCCTGAACTCCCCCCCCAGTTTACTGTGTTCATTCTCTGTCTTCCTAATAAGGATGTGTTGCAGGATGGCTTCTGTGATGACGTCCAGGTTCTTGGTGTTTCTGACAGAGAATTAAACAAAACACGCAAATAGTGCAAAGAAAAGGTAGTTTATTAAGTAAAAGTACACTCCTGAGAGGTAGGAGCGGGCCTGAGCAGAGAAAGAGTGGCTCAAGAGGTCTCCCCTTAACTTTTATGTTTTTATTTTTGGCTTTGACAGAAAAAAATAGTTTTAGAATTTCAACACAGAACATAATTTCGTAAGCTGAAATAGGGGCACACCTCACTTTAACCGCCATG